ATGCGCTCAGCTGAGTCTTCGTTTGGAAGATTCTGGATCTACTGTTCACTTCATTCTACTGTGCCTGCTATTGCTGTTGCGACTATTGCCAGGACTCATGAGGAGAGGGCATTGCATTGCTATGCTGCTTATACAGCTAAGGATAAGACTACTGATGGTGGTCATGATACACATGGTTCTATCAACATTAGGAGAGCTGAAATATTGTTTTCACCAGCCTTATCAACGCGAGCTTTTTGGCAACTCTATCGCGATGGATCCTCTTCGAAGACACGTGACCCCACCGGCTGACCCTTCTAACCTTAACCGCTTGCAGTAGACCCTAACAGCCTTAAAGCCGTGAGCCCTAACAACTGTGAAGCTTCAAGCTCTATACCCCATAGACCCCTGAAGCCGTAAAAGCCCTGAAACCTTCAACTCTGTACTGTACCCGAGACCCTTCTCTGTGCCCTCTTCAGCCCAGCTTTTCGGAAGCCCGAAAAGCGAATCCAGGTGCCGAGTCCCTTTCGACAGAGGCAGGATTGCAGGGTTACAGGGTTTTCCTTTAGAGTTACAGGGTTACAGGGTTTAAGCTTCTGAGGTTTCGGAGGGTTTAGACCGGCTTGTAGACGGCTTGCAGGGTTTAAGTGTAGCTTGAGGTCAGGTTTCGAGGACTTGCACACTTTAGTGGGCCTCAGGGTAGAGGCTCCATGTTTTTGTTGTTGCAGTTGTTTGGCTTTCGCGCTTAGGCGGGACCATGAAGGGTTGTGCAAGGTTTCAGTGTGCAAGGTTTCTGGTCTCACAAGGGCTTCTGTACCGTGTTTTCAAGGTTCTGGGTTTCGGGTTTCTGGAGGTTGCATTGTTTTTGCTTGGGTTTGGGTCTATTGCTTCATGAACTAAGCTCCATAAATTTCAGACTCCTTACAGAACCTCAAGGAACCCTTTGAAGGAACTCCTCAAGGAACCTTCTTCCAACTATTAAGGGCCCCCTTGAACGAGCTTGTTCAGGCACCGGGGCTGAGTCCTGAGGCGGCTGTGCCTCCCTCAGGGCAGGCTTCAACTTCTTTTCCTCGCGGTGCTGTGGGGTTCTATAAAGTTTAGGCTGTTTTGGGGTTATGGGGGGTTTTTGGTATGGGATTCCAACGGAACTGTTTCAACAGTTTAGGGTTTAGGAGTTGCGGTTCGGGTTAGTGCGTGTTGTTGTTCTAGTTGTTGTGGGTTTCACCGGTGTCTTTATGGGGGGGCCTGGAGTGCGTGAGAGCTTTTTCATCAGGGCTCAGGGGGTTCAGGTCTTTTCGGATGTCATGTTTTTAAGATGTAGGGTTGGAGGTTCGGTTGGGTAGTAGGGTTGTGATTCTCCCCGCTACTGTGCTGTTTCAGCCAGACCCCGAACGTCTATTGAGAAAGTTACCCCGTCAGGTTTTAAGTCTTTTAAGTGCTAGTATTGGTATTCAGTTGAGCATTGTGAGGGCGCCCTACACCAGAGTGCAGCAACTCGAGGGGACGATCGAAGCGCTCCAGGAGCAGTGCAGAATGGTGCAACGTCGACCTTTAGCTTTTCTAGGATTCTACGAGCCTCATGCGACCAAGATCTGCTGAACTATACGCAGGAGGATGTTGCTTCGACACATCTACTAGGCTCCGGGACTGCGCAGGCAGCTACAAGAGCAGTGCTTGCTCGAGTTGCCCAACTTGCACCGTCTCTCCGGCGGGGGCTTCATCCGCTGTTTCCCGTCTCCTACCGCTGGCATCGTTGAACTCCAGTCTGGCCAAAGCAAGGTCCCTGGGCCCTCCTCTGCCCCCTTGGCAACATGGCCTTTGCTGGGAGTTCCCTGTGCAAGAAACCCAATGCATAAGATCCTGAATGCCTGCCTGGAGCCAAGCAGACACAGCATCACCAACCAAAACATGCATCCCTTAGCCCTGTGACCCCCTGCAGGCCCGACAAGCCAAACAGCAAGGATTCGAGTCATAGCCCAGAAACAGAAACAGCAAAGGTGCGATTTCCGTCAACAGCCACTCGATGGCTCGGAAGAGGATGTTAGCCCACAGCCGGCCCCTACAAAGGCTAACAACAGAACCTTTCATGTAGACCCCAGTGCAGTCTGCATATCACGCGTATACGAACGCACAGAAGTCCCGGTGCCAACAAAGACTCGAATATCCACCCTTGTAATTCTGAGCCCAAACCCCAGACAATGATCCGAAAACTTGTAACACCTTCTCAAACCCTAACCCGAAACCTCACACCCTAAACCCGAAGCCCCAGAACCTCTAAACGCTGTTTTTGGCCGTCTCGGAGCTTGCGGCTCCTTGAGGAGAGTGCTTTGTCACCCGCCTCTGCCTTAAGCCGGGGCCTCGGGAAGCTTTGGAATTTATGATTGTTATGATGATGTTGAGTCTTTCTGTGTTATTTTTGTTGGCCACTAGAGACCACGACGACGAGCACGGCAATATTAAAACCACTGCCACAATCACCTCCGACCTTCGCGGCAACTGAGATAGGAGAACTGCTAGCTTGTGAAGTGCCCTCCCACCGTGATGAGGTGCGGCAACTGCAGGATACCCAGCTGACGCAGATCAGGCCGCGTGAGGGGTGTTGCTCCCGATCCGGAGCCGAAGCGGGATACTAGGGCTCTGAGTGTCGGCTTCAGATGGCTCCCGTTTTCTGATGTTTCGGAGCACAAAGCTTCATGGATCCGACGCTAGTCTGTTCTTCCACTACTTTAAGCACCTGTCATTAGTCCCAGAAGTTTCTGACGTGGCAGCCCGCTGTCCGCCCTACACCCTTGCAATCTTGGAATTTTCTCGTCCCGTAACCTACCGGCTTAAACCTTAGGCCCTTAGATCCTTAGCCCTGGGGCCTAGGCGAACCCTGAACTCAACGGAATAACTCTGATGAGGCCTTGAGCCACAGTTGCGGCATGCAACGACGCGACCGAAGCTTGAGCAGAATGCTACACCCCGAGCTCCGAACTCAGAGAATACCAAACTTCAAACCTCAACCATAAACCCTCCCAAGTCCCTAAGCCTGAAACCCAAACAGAACCCAACAACTCTCAACTCACATCTCGCCGTGGCAGACGCCGGGCGCGAAGAAGAAGGTTGCGAAAAAGAAGCCGAAGGAGTGACATGAACCCGTACATGACTTTCCTCCAAACGCATGAGGGCTTGGATGCCGAGGGCCTGCGGGTTCTCGGGGTTCAAGTCTATATCGTAGCGAGTGTTGGGGCGAGGGCTACTGAGCAGGAGGAAGGTTCAGGGCGTGGTTTCAGCTTTATGGATGTAGGGCACCAACTCTATCCCTTCAGGCTCCTTTCTTTATGAGTATACGGAAGTATACCCCATGCCCCCTAATCCTAGTCCAACTATGCTTCAGAAGAGACCCTATTCCTTCGACCCCAAACCCTAACTCCCAGTTCTTCAACACAGACATGGGTTCAGGCTTTGGGGCTTCGGGTTTAGGGGTTAGTTCTTAGGGCCTTAGGGTTTAAGGGAGGTTTAGGGATATTGAGGCAGCATGCCGCAGCGAGACTGTGCGAGGAGTGCAGCGTGCATTGTCCAGAACCAAGAAGCCTAGCACCCTGGAAGGAAGTAGTAAGGCTCCTTTGCTAGGCCATATAAACCTCTAAAGAAGCTCTATCACCCCCTCCAGAAGACCCTGTTTTGATTCTGACAAGCACCTGCCCCCCTGTCGGCACATTGCCTTAAACAGTTATTTTTAAATGTTTTTTTGACTCCATAATCTCGAAGCCCGTCAAGTTCAGAAGGAAACCGTATTTGTAAGCCCATACCCCAATTGCGTCCTCATGCGGGGACAGGGCCATTGTAAAAAAGAGCCCTAAGCCCTCAACCCGAAACCCGTAAACCTTAAACTACTAAAAAGCAAACCCTAAGCCCTAAACCACTTTCCCCGTAGCAAAGCGGGGCGTGCTGATTTAGTGTATGCCCTTTTCTGGGTAGGCGTGCGCTGGATAAAGGAGCGTCGTTGCACTTCCACAAAATCCCACCCAAAGAAGCAAAGCCCTAAACCACCCAATAAACACGAAACCCCAAACCCGAAACCCTAAACTCTTAAACAAATCCCAAAACCCTAAACCCTCCCCAAAAAAGCAAAGCCGTAAACTCTTAAAAGAACCCTTAAGCCCTAAACCCAAGATCATCTTTTTCTTACCCCGATCTGCGGAAAACCGAAGGAGGGAGACGAAGCCTCGCCCAGCGACGGAGCTTGGGCCACAGCGAGCCTCCGGGCTTCGGGTTTAGGGCTTCCTGCCCAGGGTTTTGTAGTTAAACCCCTGGGGGTTTACGGTTTAGGTGTCGGGTTTGCGGTTTAGGGTTTAGGAGTTTCGGGTCTAGGGTTTCGGGTTAAGGGCTTCGGGCTCAGGGCTTTATTTGGAACTTAAGGCCCCCCGGCTTCAGCTGGATTGATATGGAGTTTGTGTATGGATGTGCAGGACTTTGCTGCAGGGTTTTCGTGCCGTTTTCTCTTTAGGAGGGTGGGCTAGGGGTCATAGTCTTGCATGTTTGTTAGGTTTCGGGTTGTTTCGCAGCTAGAGAGTTGTTTTTGACATGCTTCAAGTTCTGATTCGAGATGCGGAACACAATCGTACCCACCAAGGGATCGAACCCCCTAAACCCTAAAGCCCGAAAGCACCTAATGCCCTGAACTTGAGATTTTTGAGTTCAAAGGTTTAGAGGATGTGACGGCTCATTCGGGCGGCTGAGGAATCCTGCAACGCCAAACGCCAGCTGCAAGCCGCCTTAAACCCCCAAGTTCCGAAAGACCCTAAACCGCCTATCCTAAAGACCCTGAACCCTCAAACCTTAAAGCTTCACTTCACTTCGCAGCGTAAGGGTACTAGTCCCGTGCTAATACAGGGCGGACCAAAAACTGGGAGACCCAGCAGTCCTGGAAAAGCGGAGACTTACTGCTCCTGAATGCAACTCACAAAACCATGGTGAAACGAGACGAGCCGGCAAGAGGGAGGACCAAACCGCGAACCCACCGACTCGGCAGCAACTTACAGAAGTTGGTGAGGGAAGGCCAGACGGCGCGGAGAAGCACCAGACAGGCGCCCCACCGCCAGCAAGGCCAAGGCGTGGGCAGCGACCTCAGGCAGGCAGAAAACTGTGCCAAAGCCAAGCACAGGAACCGCCGAGGTCCCTACCGCAGTGGGCGAAGCACGGCGCAGAAGCTCCCAAAAGGCAGCGGGGAGCGGTTGCGCACTCCAAAGTACGGCCCCGTACCTCACCTGGCGGAGAAGATGCAAGAAAGTAAGCATCCGCCGCAAGAAGAGAATGCGACCCGAGGCAAAATGCCCAAACCCAGCTGGGCCACTCCGATCGGGGCAAGGTGTCGGACGCTCCTCCTTGCGTAAAAAGGCCGAGAGGCGCCAGACTTCCGACGACCATGGATGCTGCGTGTCAAACGCCAGGAACACCCTCCAACAAGCAGCCCAGCTAACAGGCAAGCACCAAATCGCAGGTGGCACACCTTCCCACCGACAGGACAAAACAGAAGTCTCACAGTCGGGAGAAAATTCAACGAATCGGTACACCGCCTGAGGGAGAGGTGACGAGGTCGCATCCCGGGCGTCCCGTCCAAGCGAGTCTCCGAGAGACCCAACGGGGGCAGGTACAGGACGAGGGAAAGGCTCTGGCATGGCGGCAGACGCTGTAGGCGGCACGAGCAAGGAAGGCGGAGGTCCAGCCTCAACAGACTCCGGCGGAGAAACTCCAAGAGCACTGACAGAGTTGCGCCGGAAGGGAACCACTGGCGAGGATCGAGCACCATCGGCAAAGCCCGGCCCAGGTGCAAGCAGACTCAGCTCTGCCGAGAGCTCAGCCTCCGTGCAGCACCTTTCCTCAGCCGCAGCAAGACGTTGAGCTGCGGTTGCGTTCATAGGCCCACAAATCCGAAAGACTGGTGCACGCGCGTGGCCTTGCTTACCACGCCGTTTGGTGCCAGAGCCATACTCATAGACCGGCCCAACACAACAGCGGAGGCCATGTTCGCACTCAGGGGTGTGAAGCGGGTGATAGCGGAGCCGGGCTGCATTGTGGAATTCCGTCAAACACCACAGGCAGACAGTGCCGAGGGTATATTGAGTGCACAAAGCTACTCGGCCATGCAACCTGTGCATGTGCGCCGCGAGGGCATGGGCCGACGCTAGTGTCGCCCCACATTCTGAACATGTCCGAGGGGAGGCAAGGCCAATGACCCGCTTCGGTGTGGGGCTCTCGTGGCTCTTCCAGGCTCGTTGAAGGGCAAGAAGCATAGTGCCTGAGCGGCTAATTTTCCGACAAGCCGAAAGGAGCTTCTTGAGGTGTCTCCGTATCCCCAGGAGAGTGGGCTCCCCTGTCTGGAGCTCGGGGAGACCAGAGGCAGGCCAGACACGACGCGCGGCCTCAGCGAGCAGGGAGGCCCATTCTCCTCCTCGATCCCAGCTTGCTTGGAAGAGTTCGAAGGCCTCAGTTGACCGTCCGGAGGCAATCCGACATAACAGACGGACCCGGGCAACCATAACGGCGCACTCAACATCTAAAACACCCGTGCATGCTCGCAGTTGGGCTGAGGCGACATGGTGACCAGCATCCCAACTGTCGGAGGCACTTATCCAGAAACCCATGAAGAGGGCCCCAGGCACGCTCTGAGCGAGCAAGAGTCGTGGCAAGCGAGGAATAAGCTGCGGGAAGGGTCCGCCCTTGCAGCCACACAAGCTTCAAAGGCCAAGGAAGGTGAGGGGAATGGACCAGCCCCGCTGCTTGGGTCCAGATAGCATTTCCTCGAGCGGCTGCAGCCTCGATATCCCGACGGCCGGTGTCACGACAGCGTTGTGCCACGCCGAGGTACTTGTATTCAGGGACGACTCTGATAGATCTGCCATCAGGAAGGTCGAGCCTAGGTTCGGGCGACAGAAGCTCTTTCCTGGCGGCATTGGCCCCAGCTCCTTGAAGGTGGACAAGGGCCTCAGTTTTGCCCGGGCCAAGATTAACCCGGAAACGAAAGGCCTCAAACACCTGCGCCACAATGGCACACAACCGACGGAGCTTCGTGACCGCCCACGCGGCTCGAGTGAGTCAACAAGGAGACACAGATCATCTGCCCACGCGATCTGCAGCGAGGCGTCGGGCTGACCCAGAGCATCAGCAGAGGCAATGTGCACAATGTCCTCAGCAAGAAGGGCATGATGGAGGCACTGTAAGATCACGGCAAACAGGGCGCCAAAAAGGACATCAGCCAAGCCATCGCCAGGCCGAGACCCACGGCTTGCAATGATCGCTTGTGGTTGCCCGACCATCCGTCAAAAGGAACATTCAACACAGTCTCGCAAGAGTGCGACCTGATCTTCGGGGACTCCTAACCCGGTCAGCACGCCATCTTGAAGAAGCCGGTGTACATGTCTGGGAAGCTGGAGCCCCTGCAACGCAGAGTCGAGATCACGACCTTGGAAGAGCAGGAGTCGATCCGCTTCATAATAGGCGGCTTGAATGTCAACAAACAATGCAGCCCATGAGTGCCCGCGGACGGAGGCCAGGTCCACAGCGGACCGGAAGACACTCAGGGCGAGGCCAGTATCTATTCCCTTCCTGCCACCAAGTTGGGTAGGGAAATAGTGGGCGATGCCCTCCTGACCTAGTGTGGACCTCAGCTGCGAGTGCCATAGCTTTGCCACGCCATTGAGCATGGCGATCGACCGAAAATTTGCAGGGATGTGAGCCGGGCCTTTCTTATGCAGAGCTCCGACAATAGAGGCTTTGAAGTGCAGGGGTTCGGCTTCTCCCCATGCCATAGCCAACGGCCGGCCCGGTCCGGGCAGGCTTTCCAAATTTCATTTCTAATGTGGTCAGGCCCTGGGGCCTTGCCACGTCTCTGCGCCCTGCACATATGTTCAACGTCAAGGAGAGTGGGCACAGCAGCCAAACATGCAGGTCGAGGTATTTTGGCCCACTGCGAGAAGGCCAGTTGTAGCTGATCATCGGAGACAGGGCGTCCCCCTTCCTGCTGTTGAAACTGCAACTGGAGCTGTTCATCAATATCGAAGCCACTGGCGGCCCGGACATCACGCTTTTGTTTCGCACCCTTAGATGCCCACGAGAGCTTGGCAACAGCTTCCAAAGGCCGTCCGGTGGCGTGCCAATGATCAATGGCCCCGACCAAAAGCGACTCGAAGTAAGCCTGCTTGTCCTGGCGAGCCTGCGCATGGGCCTGGGCCCGCAATTTAAAGCAGACGTGGGCGTAATGAGCCCGCAGCATCTGCGTCTGGTGGCGTTCCCATCGGGGAACCCCAGGCGTCTGCAGTCGCCACGAATGAAAGGCAACGCGGCATAGTTGCAGTCGCTGAAGTGCCGAGATTCGGCGGAGTTCAGCCCGTGCATCCCGAAGCGTTGTGAGCAATACTTCGGCTGCAACAGAGAGGTATGGCTGCCTCCGGAGAAAAGGTGGCCGTGCAGGCAGCTGCTTGACGGCATCAGCATGGGCGTCGCACAGCCGTTGCACTTGGGCTTCACAAGTGCCCGAAAAAGTGTCCCCAAGCAGGGACCACATCTTGGAAGCAACCTGATCACCACTGGCAGGTGCATAGGGGCAGCGTGAATGCACCCGCCCCCCGCGACGCCCGCAAACTTCAATCAGGGCGGTGATAGGCATATGGTCCCTGAACTCCCCATTCAGAATGTCAAACTCAGGGTATTGACGGTGGGCCTGGACCGTAATCCCGCTTGAGACGAGCAAGTGGTCTAGCCTCTGGGTCTTGCCGCCTGTGTGTTGCCAAGTCCAAGTAGGACCAGAGTGAATCTCTGCCCAAGTTCCGGGCGCGGCCAAGGAGGCATCATGCAGGCACGCCAAAAGAAGATCGTCATTCAAACGCGGGGGCCGCAGGGAGAGTAAATCGCCAACAAGGACTTCATCCTCATCTCGCCCTACAATGTCAGCATTGGCATCTACGCCGATTATCACGGTCCCCCGGTTACATGCAGAAAGCAGGTGGACTCTAAAATCACCCCAAAACCGCCGAGCTTCCGCCTCCGGCCTCTCCGAGTGTGGGGCATGGGCGGCAACAAGGGTGATGGGCAATTCGGCGCGTAGACACTGTACCAGTAACATGCGTGGATCGGCATGGCGAATCCGAAAGTCATCCAACGATAGGGCAGGCTGAAGCAGATCCGGGCGGACCCAAATTTCGACCCCATAAAGTCCGTTCTCGGCACCAGAGCGAAAGCTGAGAAAGCCGTGAGAGGACCATCGTCCTGGCCGACTGCGACACTCTTGGAGAAACGCAACCTGAACATCCAAGGCCTGCAACTGCTTGGCAAGGTATACCCGACGCTGACCGTGTCCTTCACGGTTAAAGAAGGACACATCTACATCTTTAATAGTCTGGATGTTTGCCTGCACAACCCTGAAATTGATGCGGAGTGGGATGGGGCGGTCAGGTTCGCCTGACGGGGGGGCCGAAGGCAGAGGCTGACGACTCTCCGGAGCAGGTGGGTGTGCGGGCGGTGACTCCCACCCCGCAGGCTTCCAGTAAAGGCCATTCGGACCAAGCTGAGCTCGCGGTAAGAGCCACATCAGTGGGGCACAGACCGCGAGAGTATCCCCAAAGGTTGGCAACAAACGACACCAACACGCTGTGGCACACCTGGAATGCAGGCTGGCATACCCGGCCAAAGCGTCAACAATTTCATTGACCAAGGCCCCAGCATGCCCAGGGACATGGCGGAAGTGAGTGGCACACCGGGACTGGACGCCCTGCCAAAGAGCCCTGCAGACTTGAGAGTGCACAAGTGTGGCCGCGGCATGTCCGCAAGCGACCTGCAGAGCGGCACTGTTATCGACTGCTATAGTGACTCGCCGGGGTGCTTGACCCGTGTGGAGTTGAAGGTGGTCCCACCAAACCGTAAGCCACGCAGCAGCTGAGACTAGGGCACTAAGTTCCCCAGCATATGAGCGCAGGTCAGTACCCCCCTCTGGCAAGCTGGGAAGCCAAGGGGTCATTCCCAGGGCGCCAGCGTCCCAACCGACACGGTACCAAGCACCTTTCCAACAACACCAGGCTGCAAAGGCCAACTATCGGAGTGGGTGCCACTTCCATCAGTTGCGATAAGGACCTCATCACAGACCCCACCAGCCCAGGTTGGGAATCGCTGCCATCCGCCATGGTACAGACCTGGTAAGAGAGCGGGGAGGTGAAGGGGCAACGGCCGAGCTAGATAATGAGCAGCCAAGCCGGCATAGTGGTAGCCAGCATCATTAAGGTCGAGGGAGCAGCTATCCTGACGTGCAGCTCGGGCTGCGCCGGGGGGCCCGGAGATCTCAGGAGCCCCCCAGGCGCGCCCGTACACGTTGCTGAGAGAGGATTCCCAAGACGAGAAAGCATGTCCTCTGAGCGGTGAGATCCCGGGATCGGAATACAAGACAATTTCCGGTCGCCGTGCAAGGGGGTGTGGCGCAAGTCCCGATCCAACAAAAAGGGGCAACCAGAGCAGGCCAAGAATGTAGAAGGCGGGCCGGCACCGCAGCCGTGCGCCCTGGGTAAGAAAGCCTAGCCGGGGCCTAGCCAAAGACCTACCCCGGGAATCCCGCTGGTTCGCCTGCCAAGATCATCCTCATCTCGGGGTGCATAAGGACTGAGACAGACCTCAGTCGCGCAGACCCGAGGGGGATACGTGCACGCCAATGTGTGGGCAATCGTACCTTGTGTACTCTCCTCCACCAGATGCAGACCCAGGGGGTCGACCCGAACAGCAGGGATCCATCTAGAAAAGCTGAAAGGCGCAAGAGAGGGAAAGAAGGTCCCACTGCTGGGGTCCCATCGCTCCCCTCGTACGGTAGGCACGCAGAGCGGCAAGACTGCCCCGGATTGCCAGGCAAATATCAGGCCCGGCTCAAGTACTTTAAAGGGATGCCCCCAAAACGCTAAAGGCAGCCGCAAACTGCAAGGTAGGCCATTCCAGTGTCTGAGGCTGACGAAGGCGTGCATGGGTACCAAGAGGCACTGTCAAGGCAGAGCACGTCCCCTGAACGCAGATAGAGAACGGGAGATCTGGAGAGAGAGGTACCTCTCCACGCAGCTGGAGGAGGCTAAAGGTGCAAACGCTCGAAGACGATCTAAAACGTCCCTGAGGCGAAGCACGCCATGGCAGCATGACTGCACGCGAACTCACTCCGCCGTGAAGGAGCACAATCACAGAATCCGGGTCCGGGGGGGCCGGGACCCAATCAATGAAGGCAACATGCTGAGACGGGCGCGCTCGAACGAACTGCTCCCATGCTGGTATACTATGGCGGAGCGCATCCGGGCATCGGTGCGATGGCCCGGGGAAGGGCCCCTGCACCATACCAGCAGGATTCCAGACCCGATGCAGGTACTCAGGGTTGCGGAAAGCGGACTGCCAGAGCCTCTGGGGTGAGCATAAAAAGGAGACTGGCGCCCCCCAAGCACGGCCATCGCCAGAGCAGTGACAGCAGAAGAGCGACCCCGACGGGGAATTGTTCCCGAGGGGAAGTCCCTGAAACAACATCCCCGTTGCGCAGAAGGGTGCCATGGCGAAGCTCGGCCTTTGGAACCCCAAGGACTTGCGGTTGTGAGGGCAAAGTAGGCAGCGCAGTCCAAAGCTGCCACGCGTCAACACAGGCGGGAATCTCACTGCAGAAGCACCCAAGAGAGGATTCAACTACGACACTGACATCATCTGCCGATTGGGAGCATTGGACAAGGTGGGGCAGGTCGTCGGCGGCCCACGGGACGGGCGCCCAGCGACCCGGGAACCGCTGGGCAAACACACCCTCAAAAGTGAGGTCCAGGGCATTCCATCGAGCCATGGCCGGAATACGGGAGCGGAGTGGCCTCACCGAGGGGCGCCACAAGACCACCTCAATCGTAGAAGAAACAGAGAAATCGACGGACCAAATTGCACAGTGCCGAAGCTGGGTCGCAGTGGCAAAGCAAGGCGGAGAGTACGGCGGGAGGGCCACAAGCAAATCCCCCGAACGCCAATAGATGTCTGAAGCCGGGTCCCGAACAGTGGCCGGTGCACGGAGGGACAGGGCGTGCAAGGAGTGGCCGTAACGCAAGGCCTGTGCAATCCATTCTAGTGGCGCAACCCGAGGGATGCAAAGAGCGAAATGGTCCTCAAGCGAAGACACCACCACACACACCAATTCAAGGCAAGGCGGTTTAGGGACAACCATAAGGAAGGACCGGGGCAACTCCTGCTCCCCAGCCGGGCTCAAGCTGACTTGCCCTATCAAGCAAGTGGTCTGGTGATTCAGAAGTTGGGACCTGTCCGAGGACTTGCGGCCCGGTGAATGGGCTGACATAGACAACCTCCAAGGCGGCTCGCTCAGTGAGATCCTGCATGTTCTCATGTCCAGGGGGGGCTCGCCAAGGGAAAAAGCCAGCACGAATCGGGTCAGACGCGGTGTCGACTGGCTGGTACATGCCCCAGGCACCAGACGATGAGAGCCAACCAAATAGGAGAAGGGCCCAACTGAGGCTTCGTTTGGAGAGAACACAAAACGCAGCGGAGATGGCGGCCGGAAAGTCAAGGTCCCAAGAAGAGTCCTGTTCGACAGGACGGTCATCCTGACCAGGTGTGTCATCCGCAAGAAGCGGGGGGCGACCATCAAAGGGATCCCAGGTGAAAGTCGCATCAGGGTCGACTTCCAGGACATCGGCGTCTCGAAGAGACCCTCCGGCGCGGCTGCGTCGAATGGAAGGGACAAGTCTCCAACCAAAAGGGGGGCGGCATGCACAAATGCCAGCCAGGAAAACCCCGATCGGTTCATCAGTGGGCGGGATCAAACACAGGACAAGGGCTTCAACAGGAAGGGTCCGGCTGACAAAATGCAGACGCGTGAGACCCCCTTGCAGCACAGGGACCCACGAACCCAACATTTGATGACCATTCGGACTTCGAAACGTGGGTCCGCGCGGGTCCCAAATCCCACCTCCGCGTATAGTGACGGAGCGTCCAACACGGCTAGAGGTAGACCAGAACGTCGCCGTGTCACCACAATCAAAACGGAAGGGAAGGGACCAACTGGCGACCTGACGGGCAAGCTCAAGGGACGGAAAAGTCAAAGTAGGACGCTGGGCGTAGCCCGGCTGACCAGGGCAAGGCTGCAACCCAAAGAGGTCCCCGTTGCGCAGCCTAATGACCTGATGCTCATGCACAGCACGGAGCGCCGGTGGAAGAATGAGATGCAAGGACCTGACCTGAGGTGAGCGCACTGCAGCAGCCGCCTGAATGGCGGCCGGCGTAGTGTCGACCGGTAAGAGAAAGGCACTCGTCCCGTCCAAAGTGTGAATGATTACAGTGGCCAAACCGAAGGGGGCGACCGGGGCCAGGGCGACTTCCGTGAGTGGCCGGACCCCTCTGACTGGGAAGAAACGACTGCACCAGCTGCCGCAAAACCTTTGCCCAATCCTATCAAAAAATGTCCAGGATCGCCCGAGATCGGCAGCCTCAGCCGCGCTCCATCCAAGGATCGGACATAATGTTCGGACTGTGGCCTGATCAGGACGCAGATAGCATTGGTCGAATGCGGTAAGGCCATCGGCGCATGGAGTCGCCAGCCGGCGTGTAAGATGAAAGGCTCGCCATCGGTCCAATCAATTCGTGGGGGAAAGTGAACAATCGAAGGTGGTGATCGACTCCGGCTGCGCGCGTCCCACCGCCCTCGGGACCTGATGGTGCGAGCCTCAGACGAGTCAGGGCTACGGCAACCCTCTGAAGACGAGGCTGCCAAAACAGCTGGAAAATGCATAAACGAGACGGCCAGCAAAAATAGGACTCGGGACCCCCGAGAGGCGCCGGAGACCAGACCACCCCCGCTAACAACAGTCTTAATCCACCAGTCTCCTTCCCGGACTCGAGTGATCTTTTCCGGTCGAGCTGTAGGCGGGCGGACCTGAAAACCATCAATCCACATGTCATAGGCAGCATTACGGTTAACCGCGACGCATTCAGTGCAGCTGTGGGTGCGTATGACATGAACCTGTGAGGGCTCGGTAGCTTGAAGAAGGAGCCATGGTATTACTCCTTGATGCCCGACACAAGGCGTCCACCGTCCCTCTGCAAAGGGAGTGTCATCCCCTAAAATAGTCGCATGAGAAGCACTCCACCTTTGATTAGGGCCAAAGCAGAGTAAGCGGGTGGGACAATGTGGTCGCCACAGCAGCAGGGAGGATGGGTGGTCCACCACAAAGTCGGTCCTCCACGCGCCTTCAGCGTGGGCACGCTGCCAGGTAGGAAAGTGGGGCAAAGGAGGAGTCATAGCAAACGAAAGCGTACTGACAAGTCGAACACCCAGAGTATCCCCGGTACGAAGGGCAAGGAAAGATCCCAGCTGTCTCGACTCGGCAGCTAGGCCTGGACTTATAACTGCAGGGCCACTAGCTGCCCCATACGGAGGCCTACGGCCTTTTCAGCGGCGCGGAGAGTTGCCCAAGGCCGACAACCAGGACGCAAACTAACCCCCGTCCAGGATGCGGTACGGCAATATGCAGTCCAGCTGAGGTAGAGTCCGCGATGGCAAATCCCCGGTGCCATGAGGCTAGGGAGCCCGGACAAACCTCCAGGAGGCTGGGAAAGAAATCGGACTCCTCGACACGGACAACCGTCCAGGCCGCAAAGGGGTCGGCAACTTGGACCTGCATGAGTCGGGGCGAAGCAGATGCTAGAGGGACTCCTGGCCCAGCCAGCTCAGGGCATGAGGCGACCGGGGAGGCCTGAAGTTGCATAGCAGTACATCCCAAAAGAATGCCACCACGGCTCGCACACTGGCCAAGCACAAGCATGGCCAAGAGGCTCCAGCCGACCCGGTCTGGCCGTTGGGTGAGGGCAGCCCACAAAAGGCAAAGACGCTCGCCAGGTGTGGCCACAATGACGTGTACCTGGGCCGCCACATTGCAAACCTGTACCAACTGGACCTGGCGTGCAGAAGTCCACTGGACAGGAGTCCACATGCCCGGGAAGCGCTGGTGGAAGTCACCGGAAAAGCAGTGGGATTCTGGGCACCAAGCTTCTTCAGCAGCCACCCGCGCTAGGACCGGCGGCCGATCCGGTCTAAGTAACTGGACCTGAACATCAAACATAAGGCGGAACCCCAAGGCCCATGGAGCGTGCTGGGCTGCAAGTCCATCCTGTAAATGCCACGGTTCGACCGCCTGCAGTGCCTCGTCAGTGGCATCCTGGGCTTCCTGTGCGTACACGACATCACCGTTTCTAAACTTGAGTGCGGCTGGTGGCACATCGAAGAACTCTGAGACCGCCAGACCATGTGGGACGGCAATGTCCCCCACAGCTCGCCCGACATGACGGGCGACCAAGGCTGTGAGCCATTCAACTGTCATGACCCTCGGTGTGACGATCGCACGAGGGATGCCTCGCCACTGCAGCATCAAAGTGACAACGGCAGGGTCGGCGCCGATAGGGACAATCGACAGTTCGTTAAATGCCGGGCCTGGCCACACCGGGAAGAAGTCTGTCGGCCAAGCTGGCTCATCATTCAGGAACTGTGCCCAAATGACATGGTGGCGCGTATCTCTCGACGCGGTATATGCAGGGTAAGCACCTAGGAAGGGGCTATGCAAAACAAAATAAACCGGGTCGTGGGCCGTAACATCATGTAGCTCTCTATTGCGTGGGTGATCACCCCATGGAAAACCTCCAGGGCGGTGCATAGCAGAGACAGCCAGGGTGCCAAAGCAGACCACCACACATCCAAGCCCTGCATGGCGCCACCCGCGCCCTAAGAGGGAGAAACCAAGGTACCGCATGGGTGAAGCGGCCCAACCGAGGGCGCCGAGCAAGGACGAGGATCTGTCCTCTGCAACGGACTCACCATCGTCGGCTTGGGCAGGCGTGGCGGAGGCAACCCCGGGTCGATTAGTAGAGGGACGTGGGGGTCTGATGCGAGCACCTAAACAGTCTCCATCCCGTAACTGCACGGTATCCGCTTCGTCTATCAACCCAGAGAAGTGGAGATCGCATACATCGTCCCCGACATGGAGCGAATGTAAGGCAGAAGCCCTAACACAGCGTGGTAGGCAACAAGGGACCAGCCGATCTCGCAATACAATCCCGACCGCAGCATTGTCAGGATGAAGCGGCTGGCCAATGAGGTGAACAGCCAAGGCATCCGGTTGTGGATGCAAGAGAGCTAGGCCTCTCCACCCCCGGTGATTGGCATGGTCTTGAAACACAGTAAAGGGCGAGATCTCCACCCCAGCATGATATTCCAACCAGCTGCATTGTGCCCGCGCAGTGAAGGGATTGTGTATGCAAATGGGCGTACCTGGAGGGATGGCATCAACAACCGCCCGAACGCCATGTTGAAACTGTGACAGTTGGACTTGCACAGTGGTAACGGCAGAAGCAGAAACGGTAGCCCGAGCGGGGCCGACAGGTGGCCACTGACCCAAAGAGTAATCTTCCACAGGGGTTGTAGCCTGCAGATAGAGAACACGGGACGCGACAGGTGGCGCGTTGGCCGGGGTGGGCGGCGGAGGTCCAGCAGGACGCACATGAGGGGCTCGGCCGACTCCATGGGTCGCCGCATTGAAGGTGGTCACCGTGGCTGGAGAACTGCCCTCCTCGTCCGAGCTCGAGCCGGGAGGTGAGATAAAAGACGCGGATACCCACCCCGGGAACAGAAGGACGCAGCAAACGAGGTGAAGATGTCTCAGGAAAGCCCCCGCCTGACGGCTGAGACACAGGATCATCCAAGCGGCGGCAGGGGGCGTAGCTCTGTCTCCTCGAGAAGGGTCAAGGTCGAGGAGATCGACCGGGCGAGCCGGGGTGGCAGAGGCATGGGGCACTGGTCCGGAGTCGCCAACTGGTTCCGCGTCTGGCTCAGCCAATCCTTGCCACAGACGCGCAGCATGGTAAGCAAGATCCCGAGCGAGGTCGTTGACCCGAAGGACAGCAGCATGGTCGATCCCCACACCTTCCCCTGTAAGGTTGGTCTGCGTCGCACAATCATGGCACGACGGCCTAGCCCCAGCCCCATCGAGTCTCCGGCCGTCAACCCCGACTTCAATTGGTGGTTCATGCAGGGGCCCACGACTAGGGGTAGTCCTAAAGAAGGGACCCTCGACAATGAAGGGGTCAGGCTCCCAAACATTATCACCCGGAATCATCGGGAGGGCTCCTAGAACAACCTGAATGATAGCACCTGATGGGAATTCAGGGAGACCCACCCCGGGTGGGAACAGATTGCCGCCAAACCCTAAAGCTGGACGGCGCTCCGGTACTAGCTCATGGTGGAACAGAGCGCGCAAATGAGCCGCCAATATATCCCAATCAAACGGGTGGTGGCCGAACGTGACAGTTGCTGAGTCCCCAAAGTGTAAGAGCCAGAAGCGAGATGGGGGAACCGTCCGAGGCACAACCGGCACAAACATGAGGTGTTGGACTGGATCCGTTGCCGGATGATGCGTGGAGCGAAACTCTCCAGGGCTAGCTATATTATGTAAGCGACTAACGAGCTCACACAGCCAGCGGGTCGGGTAACCCTGGGGCAGCCAGGGGAGATCTATGGGTTCCCTTACGTTAAGCGTCCAGATCCGAATTACAACCGGGGACGGGTCTGGAGGCTGCACGGCAGGAATGATAGCATGCTCAGACGGGCCGGGCGCACTGCCTGGTTGCATCGCAACAACAGCGTTGCTGAGGGAAACCAGCCATAAGGCAACGCCCACAATGGTCCGCGGGGAACGTGCAGCAGCAATGCGCACAGCTCCCTGTATGCAATGACCAAGGAGGTGCGGTAGTCCTTGGGTAACTACGGCACGAGCTCCTTGCGGGGGAACGAGGCCGTCACGGACTGCGGAAGATGGTTCAAGCTGGAGTACAGAACCATCCGGGTCGAGCGTACAAAAGTGAAAATGACAATGAGTTGTAAAATGTTGCGTCACAGGGCGAAGCAACTCGCGCCCCCCATCGTCCCGAATAATCCACCAAATCCCAGAACCAGGAGGCACTACAACTAGCTCCAGCACATGAGGACAGGAGTCAAAAGCGACATGCAACCTGTAGGTAGGGGAGGGAAGGAAGGCCGCCAGGTATGCACGAAGATGCTGTTCAATGTAAGCGGCACTAACACGAATATGAATTGGGCCGCGCCCGGGCAGCCACAAGTGCAGCTGAACATCAGAAGGACCGTTCCTGGCAATGAAAGCGCCCAGGCTGTCCGGGGAGACCCCAAATCCATGTGTTTGACGCCCCAACTCGTGGGTCCATGAAAGGGTGCATGTGCGGGCAATATCCCGCCTGTCCTGGACGAATGTAACGAAGGTGTCATGTGGCCGGAGCCGACCTGGGGGTGCATTAGCCTGGACGCCACCTGCGCCGACAACAAGGGAAGCAAGTAGGGCCAACATCCTCCATTGGCCGGACGCCAAGAATGCAGCGGCAGCAAGAGATGAGGGAGCCGGGGGTGGGGCTGGCTGCTGCCATTCACACTGCCTGGTCAGCTGCGCGACTCCGTCGTGAGAGTCATGGCCGATGTTGACACACCGATCCGCAACGTCATGCAAATCACCTGGATAAGGCCATACCTTACCCTCATCATACAAGAAGGTTTGCGGAAGTTCCCAAAGGGAAAGCGCTAAAACATTAGCAACAGTATCCCAAGAAGGAGCGGCGGAACAAACCCCGAAGACAAGGGCCCCGTCCCGGATTGCCCAGAGTGCAAAGCCTGGAATGCATGGCACCACACACTTTAATCGCCAATGTTCGCACCACAAGCTTGACCAGATGCTCGGGTTAGGCGGGGAGAGACCGACAACGCAATCGACGGGCAGAGCTGGCATACTAAGGGGGTGAGTGTCTGGCACCAGGAAGGGTCCCCCAGTTTGCACACCGGCGTCAGAGGTCCTTACACCGCTGGGCAATTGCGGGGGTACAGGTACATGTATAATCGGCCGTACAGCATGACTGAAGCGCAGCCCCGCGGAGCCACAACATGGACGCACCACAAACGGCACTCAGGGTCCCCAGGAAGTGCAGTAGTCTCCCAAGCAAGCACCGTCAGCCCGTGGGACTGGAGTGCCCGGAGAAGACGGGCAGGGGGGTCCGTTCGAGAGACGAGCTGCAACAGAAACTCGTCAAAAGACACGAAGCGGCCTTCAAAGCACAAGATCAACCCCAAGGAGGCAAGGTCCGCACGGTCATTGACCCTGTAGACAACAACACACTGCCTGCGGGCAGCACATCTGGAAAGGGCAGATCAAAGAACGAAAATTTGCCGGTGCAGGTTTTGGACATAAGGACACGCAGGACATCGGCGGTCACTGTGGTGCTTGCTGGCACACTAAAAGTGTGCACCCCTTCCGCGGCCTGAACCACAGAGACGTGGCGCACCGGCTCCAGCCAGGCAGCCGTGGAGCGCCTGGGAAGTGGCAACAAAAGAGACGAGATGTCGAAGTGCAGCGTCGGCCGAGCGGACTTCACAGTAACGACATCTCCATGCCGTAAGCGTAAGCCGCGCCCCCAAAGAATCTGAAAGGCATCATGCTGGAGGAACCGCGCGACCGCAGCAATTACATCCCGGGAAGTGTAGGCAGTCGGCAAGTCGACACAGCAAAGATCAACACCCGCATCAACGATAACGGTGATGTGTTCACGGCCCGATGCTGCAGCCACTAAATGGACCTTATCAAAGGTAGGACCAGTGGAGGCAGCAACAAGGTGTGGCCTCCCCAGACGGACAGCTTGCCTGTGTAGCTCGGCTGCGACGTCTCCGGCATCCATATCACCCAGGAATTGAAGGACAAGTGAGGTCTCGGGCGCCCAAATTTTGCAAGTGACAAGGAGCGGCGGGATGAATCACCGAAGCTGGGCCAAAGCAAGGCATCGCCAAAATCACCCGTGCGTTGCCACGTCCCTTGAAGATCAACATGGGCCAACGGGGGGGCAGCAAGATCGCGGTCACAGGCAAGCGACGCCCCTTGCAGGACCTGGCGCGGAGACCCAGGGGCGCTGTGAACTTGGACAGCAGTGGAGGGCCCGAACGCGACGAACAGTAAAAGCGCCAAAGGCAGGCCTCTCAGATCATCCACAACCAATGAAGTAAGAGTGCTCAAAAGGGTACCCAAGAGCAAAGTAGTAACCTTCATTGAAGTGCGACTCGCGCTCGTACCAGCACCCCCTTCAGGGACAAAGGAGAGATCCTCACCTGGGGGGTTTAGGCCAACACCTTCATCACCCAGAAACACTTCGGGGGTCATCCCCGAAGTGGCAGTAGGCAGAAACAGGGTGTGGCTGGAAACAGGACCATCGACATCAGCACCAGATGGAGGTGGTCGCCCTCCGACTTGCTGTTCAGAGGACGAAGAAGAATCCTGCCTGAAGATGTGAGGAAAGAACATGACCACCACGGGCAAGTTCCCGTGAAGCAACTGGTCTGGCAGAACGATGCTTTCACGATGAAGGAGCCCAAAACGGCCGTCGGCGCACTGGTCCAACCAGTCAGCTGGAATGCCTCCATTATTACGCCGAATGGCTTCCTCAAGCATACGCAAGGCAGCGATCGGGGGACGCACACACGCAGTAACGATGCGCCACCCCAAGGGCCTGAAATCCAAAATACACGGCACTTCGTCGGAGTGACAGTGGATTTCAAGAAACTGCACCAATGGCAACGATGGCAAGGGTTGCCAAATGCGCATTACCCCACCACGAGCGGTAGGCGAGGCACGGAACGACACAATTCTACGAAAAGTTGCCGCGTCAGCAAAGACGGGCACCTCAACATAGACAAGGCCATCGGGAGTGATGAGGATCGCCTGGTTGTTCGAGTATCCCTGGAAAATATCGGCCCCGGCTTGGCCCGACGGGAGGCTGACTTGCATAGCAGAGAGGAGAGACAGAGGTGGGTCCAGAGAGGCTCCGAGAGGAGCTTGCAGTGACTCCGGGCCAGGACCAGACGCAAATTGGAGAGCATCAACCCCTTGCAAGAAGAGTGGTTGCGAGCTCAAGGTAAGCCAACCCCAATGGCAGCGGCCAAGAAGACCATCGACCCGGAGCTGAAGCTCCTGCGCCGTAATAGCTAGCTGAGCGATAGCTTGGCAGGAAGAGTCCCGCACACACATCAACATACAGATGCGACCTCCTACAGCCCTCAAATCAACCGGAAGCCATGCATATCGCCACGGTAGAGACCGAGGCGTCATAAGAAGCTGCTCCCCTGGAAGGCCTGGAAGGGGGCTCTGGAGAGTGGTGACGGAAAACACGTCGTCGCGGAAACCCAAGGCCGCGGCAATCTGTCCCCACAAAAGCGGCCCATGCATCCATTCGTCTGCCATGAAGAGGAGCGGACAAGGCTCGAGCACGGTGAGCCAGGCGGCTGGCCAACGAAGACGGCCAAGGATCGACGGTGGCGATCCGAGCGCGACAGCATTGAATTGCCTGCACGACCGACCGGGTACACATTACACATCGCCTCGACTGATGGAGTGGGCAAAACCGGTCCAGTGCTGATGACTGGCCTATTTTCATGGAACCCGTGGACATGCAGTTGAACCGAGGCGGCAGGGCGGCACAAGGCAAGTCCAAGCGAGCCCAACTGAGTAGCTGTCCTGAGAGAAGCACCATCGACGAGCGACAGATACAAAAGGAAGAAGGTCAGGGCAGTATACCTCGGGTTACTGTGTCGGCCAGAAGCGGAGCCGGGCGCAACACGCGTGCCTTGAACAATCTTGCAGCGCACCAACCGTAGAGGAGAACGGGAAGGCAAGGTGCGACACTGAAGGGCCAAAAAGCTCTGCAGGCTACAAAGCAACTCAAGGCACCTCGGAACCCTTGCTCGGACAACACGGAGAGCACAAGTCTCACATGCCAAGGCCAACATAGTAAACCAGATGGCCGAAACTGGGGCAAGCACAACACAGGCCCACAGCGCGGACGCAACCACAGTGCAGCCAAGTTGCCACTTGCGCTCAAAGGAGAGCCGAGGCCCGTATGCGGTCTGGAAGCGGTCAGAGACTGTACAAGCTCGCCGGAAAGCTATGTACACTATGCACAACTTCCCTACCAGGATCACAAGACGACAGACGTTTAGTCCGCACCACTGGTGCCAGGCAAAGCTCAGCTGGGCAAGTCTCAAGCTTGACAGCATTACATGAGCTCCCGCGTGGTCTCCAACCCCCCGCTCTCCAGGAAAGGGCATGGCTGCCGCAGAATAGTCTGAACATGGTGGTGGGCGGATGCTTCCGACGCAATGAAGCCTTTGCAAGGAAGACCCGCCTCGGTCAAGAGACCCGGGAACAGCCATTCTTGGGCAGTTGCTGGTGCATAGGCGAAGGGATCGAGCAAGCCACCCACCGAGATGTGGGCGGCAACCACAAGTCCTTGAGGTGCTGCAGGAAGGGCTCCGGCACAACCCCGTAGCTGCTGCAACGCTTCCGCCAGCAATCTGTGCAACGTCGGAAGGTCCACGTCGGACTCGTCCGAGACCCCATCCTTCAAGGCCTGCCAGGTCTGCTCCACACGCTGCCGAACCAAGGGTTCGGCCTGAGCATCCATGGTGACCGGCAAAGCTGCGTCCTGTCGTGGGCATGCTGTCAGATCCCCAACCGGATCGGCACCGCTTTCGACAGCGAAGCGGAGAAGTGCCTACCCAGTCCGGCGCTGGGGAGACTGCCGGTGCAACGGGCCCAATGTGTGACAGGTCCGGAATAAGCTCGGTGTCGTTGTCCGTGATCTCCGTGACTGGCGGCCGGCTCAGAGATTCCGGGGTGCGTCCCGTCGACTCCCTGGGCCACGGCACTGTCTCGAGCGATCTGTGAGGACTCTTGGCTGGGCGTTCTGCACCAACGCCACCGCTTTCGCCATCGCCCGCCAGAGCTCACCGAGGGCTGTCCCGAGGCGGATGCCTGCTCGGTGCCAGCGCCAAGCTGCACAGATACAGGGGTGTCGCCCAGGCCGTAGTCCATACCCACCACATGGGATCGTCCCGGAAGCCCGAAACTGGCCTCGGAGCCCATATCGCCAGCTCCCACCATGTGGCCTGCTGCCCCGTGAGCAGGCAGCGGAGGTGGCGTTCGGGCCGGCACAGAGCCTGCTCCCAAGCGCCATGCAGCCGAAGTAAGATCTGGAGGTCCGGCAAGTGCACCACTGGAGAAAGCCCTCAAAGCCGAGGCGATAGCCTGTACCTCCGCTTCCTGGGACAAGCTCCAAACTCGTCCCAGAGAGCCTTGTGCCAGAGCAACCCGGTCCGAGGAGGCGCTTGACTGCTGTTCCACCAAGACAGCTTGCATCTCCTGCACAGCACCACTGGTATCTTCGTCGATTTTGTCTCCAATGGCTCGGACCCTGCCCATGAGCCCCAGAAGATGGAGGCCTATCGTCGACAACCATTGCTGTAGCGACGTCTTCAACTCGTCCTTGGCACGAGCATTGCCAGAAAGGCGCTTTGATAGTTTTGAAATAGCGTTTGCCCTTCGTTGGGCCTGCTGTTCTGCGGTGGCGTCCTCCTGGTTGAAGTTGGTCTGCAACCAAAGGTCCTGAGTCGCCCTCGAGGAAATAGATTGGAGCGATGTTGTAACCGCAGGAGGTAGCCCGAAGTCCATTCGGGTCGCCTGTGTCACCTCTCCTTTTTGGGAGCCCTTCCCTGCTTTCGAGGACTTCTCCGTAGCCTTGGGAGGCATACTGCCGTGGTGTTGCTGTAGGAGAGAAATATCCGAAGTCCGCCCTGCGCCACGATGTAGCCGCTTCCTCGCCTTCGAACGAAGGCGACGAAGCCGACGATGCCAACTTGGGCTCGCCCCGCGTTTCCGCACCGCCGTGAGAGGTTGAAGGAGTCGGAGGAGAACCAATATAGATAAGGAACACACCAACCACCGCCAGAGGGATAAGCGGTGTGTACAGCTTGTTGTTGTACATGCAAGCCGTAGAAGATGCTCACGTCAGCCAATTGAACGGCAGTGACGGGGAGGGCCAGAGCCCTTGGTGAAGCCTCCTTGGGCAAGTACCGGCGCGCCGAGATGGCGCTGGGGTCAGGAATAAAAAGTGCGACCTACAACTCGACAGGAGACGCAGGCGCCAAACTTTTCTCGAGCCGTGACGCCTAAACCTTAAAGCCCTGAATCCCAAAATCCTCGGATGTAGGATCGAAGGCATTCTAAGGACCTTCTATATCAAGCCTTTGCCGAGGCCGCGAAGAAGACGAAGAAGAAGGCCATTGCCGATCGGTACTTTGGGCGGTTTAGGGTTTAGGGAGTTTTGGGGTTTGAGATCTTTCCGGTTCAGGGTTTGGGGCTTAGGGTTCGTTCTGGGGTTTTGAGGGACGGTCGGTTGCTGAATCGGCCTGTCAGTGGTATTGGGTTTGGTAACGTTACAAGTAAGATCGGAAGCAAAGCATGATTCCGAAAGAGTTTCAAGATGTTTTTCCGTACCATCATTGCGCTACCGATGCTTAGGATGAAGGATGCGGTCTTGGCTTATCAACAGGCTCTCTACTAGCTGCATTGCGGTAAGGAGTGGCAAAGTTTGAAACTCTGCAGGCAGCAGATTAAACGGTTGATGCCGGTGCCGATGATGGCGGTGCTGTTGATGGGGCAAGTGCTGGTGGTGATGCTGCTGCTGATGATGATAGTGCTTCTCATGTTGACGCTGCCGTGATCGTCCGCTCACGGTGATCCCGACGGCGATCGTGTTGATGTTAGTTATTGACTTGATGATGATGTCGACAGTGGTGGTGCTTCTGGGGCTGGAGATGGTGGCGGTGATGATGCGACGCTGCTGTTGACCCATCCCATGGGAAGAGGCTGTGATGGTGATGAGGATGATGATGGCCACGAGTGTTGCAGCAAAAAACGAAGCAGACGCAGTGGTGATGGCGGTCAGGTTGATGACTATGGTCATCTCGATAACCAGCAGAAGGTTTGTTCCTAAATACTGGTAGTACGAGTTTCTGCATTTCCTGTGTTTGCATTTCCTGTGTTTCCTCGACGAGTAGTCTCTATGCCGCCTCTATGCCCGTATCCAACCGCTTGCTGTTGCTGCCAAACTAAGTGTGTAGACTGCTAAGGTGAATGCTCAACCACTTGGAACCCTTCAACGCTCACAGGACGGCGATGCCGCCAAGGGCGAGAAGACCACGACAAAGAAGAAGAAGGTGCCTGCGGCAAACTCCGACACCTGCACGAGATTTTGCTGCAAGCTTTCAAGACCGGGTGCTAAATCACTCGGGTGCCAAATCACCCGCATCTACATATCAATCAATCAATCTGCCTATCTAGAGAAATATGTAGAGGTGCGATGATATTACAAGCAGACAAGCAAACAGCTCTATCTGCACCCACACACCCACATCTATCTATATAGATACAAATATGTATGAGCAATGTATGAGCAATATATATATATATATATATCCAGATATTTGTGGGTATATGCATATGTGTGTTTTTTCTGTGTAAGAACATAATGGCTTTTCGGCCCATGAAACCCTTACGGCGCGAGAAGAAGCTCGATTCTTTTGCCAGGCCAAGGCAGACACTGGACTGGGCGAGAGGGGCATGATGGAGGTCGGGGACTGAGGGTCCCTAAGCCCGTTCCTGTAAGGGCTTACGGTGAAGCGTTTTGGGTCTTCATACGGATCTGGGACTTGAAGGTTTCGTAGGGTTTCTTGCAAGGGTTTCACAGGGTGTGAGAAAGGGTTTAGGACACAGACTGTCGGGATTCAGGGTTCTATCGTTGCGGACGTTAGGAGGGTTGTCACTAGTCTCGGGGAAACCCCAAGCCCTAATACCCTATAGCCCTGGCCCTCAAAGCGCACAAAACCCTAAAGCCCCAGCTCCTCAAATCCCGAAGGCCTAAACCATAGTCTGGAGTGACGGAATGTCCTCGAGTCCTTGCATTCGCTAGGCCGTGGCAGCTGACGTCGACACGCCAATCACCGTCCAGGCAAGCTTTTGCACATCATTTTGCCTTGGGTTTCTGAGGCCAGCTAAGATTCAGAAAACCCAAATCAACCCACCGATTTACTTGTGTAAAGTGGCTCATTTTGGGATTCCGGGCTACAAATCTTCATCAAGCAACGCCGGGATCCTACCGAGCACCCGCAATCCCAATTTGGAGTTGGAAGGGTGGTGCTGCTGCAGCAGTAGCAGCAGTAGAAGTCGCAGCGGCGGCAGTAGCAGTAGCAACAGTTCGTAGGTGAAGCAATGGCCACCACAACTGCAACAAGAACAAACGAAGGAATGCCAACGGCCCTAGTTGAGAAGGAAGGGGACCTACTGTTAGGGCAGGGTCCTGGCTGGTTCTGAATTCTGCCTCTCTGAAATTTTGAGATCTGGTGTTGCAATTTCGATTTCAGTATGGGGGATGCTTGGCGCTACCGGCGATCGGCCGCAGGAGCCGTCGGAGAAGAAGGAAGAGGTGCAAGGGGTCGGGATGAGCCATGCCAGCACAGTTTACGTTTCCCAAGACGGCTCCGAACTCTGTACCCTTTAAACCTCACACCCTAAACGACCCTAAATTGTAAATTGCAGGCCCTACTAAAGCCACTCTCCTGAAGGCCCGCAACTCTACAGCCCTGCAGGCCCATGGTCTCCCCAACACCAAAAACAGCACAGCAGACTTTAAGCACAACGTCCCTGAAACGATTCGTTCCAGCACGGAGAAGGTCTTCAAGAAGGGACAGTAGTCTTACTAGTATTCCGATAGTGAGGAAATGCAGGGAACACAGCGAGGACATGATCGCCAAACCGAGTGCTCCTAATGTCTGCAGACTGCGTCTATCTATTGCTGAGATTTGATCTTATTCGGGCAAATGCTTGCAGGTCTACCTATCTATCCATCCATCCATCCATCCGTCCGTCCGTCCGTTTGTCGATCCGCGGTGGTATTGCTACTAGTGACTAGTGCAGTAGTGCATAGTAATCCTGGTCAGGCATATCTGTGTGAGCTTCCTTGGAGTCGTGTTGCACTGTACAAAGAGATGGTGCCGGGCAGTCGATGCATGAAGCTTCTAGAATGCTCAAGGTTGAATCTGAAGGCGCACTTCTAGAGCAGTGTAGCCCTCGCTGTTCCCTTAACCCTAAACTCCTGGAACCCGAAACCTTAAACCACCAACACCTGGACCCTGAAGCCTGCGTCCCGAACCAAAAAGCTTAAAAGCCTAGCACAGACCCACAAAACCCACAATACAGCACTCATATTCAAAACCTTCAAGATTGAAATACCCCACCCGCAAACCATAAAGCTGCAAAATGTGCAAACTTAAATCCTGAGCCGTAAATCTGAAAGTCCGCTGGACATTTCTGCAGCAGGTAGTGCAGCCTGCTGGTCCCAGTGACGAGGAGCTTGCAAAAGCCGCCGAAATGAAGAAGGCATCCAAGGGAAGTTGGGGGTTTGGGGCTTAAGGGTTAGGGGTTTGAGGGTTTAAGGTTCAAGGGTTTAGGGTTTACATTGTTTGCTCTTCAAAGAAAGTCTTTGGGTTTGAAGTGGGGTGCTAGGTTTAGGATGTAGGGTTGCAGGCCAAATAACCCTGTGAAGCCTTGTGCCGCATGGAACCTCTCTGAAGAACCTTAAGTAACCTCGACAAAAGTGGAGGAACCCTAAACCCTAATTCCGCAAATTTTGAGACCGCAAGCCCCAGACCCCTGAAACGCTGAAGGAACCCCTTACAGGTAGGGGAAGCCTTATACAAGGCCTTTTCCTTCTGCTTATGGTACCAAACCGCTAAACCCACACCCTGGCCCTAAACCCAAAACGAACACTTTAAATTGCCCAAAAGAGCCTTGTAGCAATCCCAAATTGACGTAAGAGAACCCCCCAAATTTCATGAAGAACCTCGCAGCAAAACCCAAAACTTCCAAAACAACCTCACAGCAACCCAAGATTTCAATAAACAGCTTCATAGCAACCCAAAGTTCCAAGAAGAACCTTACAGCAAGCCTAAACCCTCAACCCCTGAACCCCTAAAACCCCAAACCCCTAAGCTCTAAACCCCAAAGGCCCCACATGGGAGTTTCCGAAAATGGGGGACCTTAATACAGTACCCTAAATAGTAGGATCCTTATTATTATTATTATAAGGCCCCCAAAATAAGGTACCCCCCAATTTTCGGAAACTCTAAACCCTAAAACCTTTATAGAACCCTTCTAAATCCCTTTAGGAACCCTTAAAAGGCTCTCTTTCAAGGTACCCCCCAATTCTCGGAAACCCCCAAATTCGTCGCCCTGGGACCCGAGGCCAAGGAGAAGGCCTCGGCAGAGTTGAACGAGGCCTCGGCGGCCGGAGACGTGAAGAGGCGCGCGCGCGAACTCGAGGATCCCCTAATTTGGGGCCCTATACTAGTATAAGGGTACTTTATAGGAACCCCCATTAAGGGCCGGAGACGTGAAGAGGCACGCGCGCGCTCTCCGGAGGTCTGTTGGGTTTAAGGGGTTTAGGGTTTAGGGTCTGGTTTGTTGCGGTTAAAGATCATTTGGAGTTTTTCGGCTTTAGGCTGGCGGGTTTTGATGTCTGCCTGTTGTAAAAATTTCTACTGATGGAGCCTGATGGATTATTGGAAGACTTGATTGCGTTTATTGTATAGTTGTGGCATGACCTGGAGAAATCGTAGCGAGTCTTATCAAATCTGATGGAATCTGAATGAACTTCAGAGGACAGAAGACATAGTTACAATTGTCGCAGGATC